CACACACACACACACACACACACACACACACACACACACACACACACATTTTTGAAAAAGAATACCAAATAAGTACTCAAACTTAACCAGTTGTCCCTAAATGTTGTTGGTTGGTTTGAGGACAGAGTCTTTCTCTGTAAGCCATGGTGTCCTGGAACGTAGGATCCTTTTGCCCTAGCCTCCTGAGTGCTGGAATTACAGGTTTCTTTCTTTCTTACATTTTTTTTATTCATTTGTTTATTCTGTGTGTGTGAGTATATATGTGCCTGGGCATGCTTGCTACAGTGTTCATAATACAGCCTGTGTATGTCAGTCAAAGGACAATCTGTGGAGTCGGCTTTTCCTGCCACACGGATCCGATGGACTGAACTCTGGTCATTGGACCTGGTGACGGTAAACACCCTTACCTGTTGAAATATCTCACCAGCCCCTGGAATTACAGGTTTCTGTCACCATGGCCTGTTTCTTTATTTCTTCAAGGTGGGAAAATGCCAGATACCAAGTAACTGTCCCTTTTCCAGTTACAGAATTTTCTTTTCTTCTCTCTTTTTTTTTTTTTTTTTTTTGATACAGGGTTTCTCTGTGTAGTTTTGGTGCCTGTCCTGGAACTCGCTCTGTAGACCAGGCTGGCCTCAAACTCACAGAGATCCTCCTGCCTCTGCCTCCCTAGTACCGGGATTAAAGGTGTGCGCCACCACTGCTTGGCCACAGGTGGGATCTTTATGCAGACTCTTCCCAAGGCACAAGCTGCTTAGACCAACTCCTGTTTCTTCTTAGGATGGTGTAGATGTAGTTCTAAATGGTCTTATTAAATAAGAGACAGAGCCAAATAAAAGAGTTAAAAGCTCAGAGACCAGAGCAGTAGCCAAGAGCTAAGACCACCTTATCTTACCACTCGCTGCCGACCTTCCCCTTCTTCCTGTGTCCTGTCTTTTTATTGCCTTTCTGTTCTGCCTTCTCATTGGTTGTAAACCCAACCACATGACTTTCTCGTCACTGCCTGTCTATACAGACCTCCAGGTCTTCTATGGTTGGTGTTGAGATTAAAGTCGTGTGTCTCCATGCTGGTGGTATCCTTGAACACACAGAGATCTGCCTGTCATGTGATTGGATTAAGGGCATGTGCTACCACTGCCAGACTTCTGCTTAATGGCTTGCTCTTAGCTCTGATCCCCAGACAACTTTATTTATTAACATACAAATAAAGTCACTTTTCAGCACAAATAAAATATCACCATAGGATGGCGTCAGTTCCCAGCTTCCTTACCCTCATGGTGCTTGGACAAGCTCTCCAAGGTGCTACAGGTAGCTGCATGCTGAACACCACCACGGCCATCCCTGAGACCCAGGCCTGCCTTGACCACAAGTTGGACCTGATACATGCCACGCATGTTTCAGTGCACCAGTTTGTAGGCAGGATATGGAAGAAGAAGAGTTCTCTGAGGCCAGAGAGGAGCGGACTGCTCTGGAGAAGGGTTGACACAGGACAGCTATGAAGAAGTGGGCACAGCAGAGCACCTGGTGTCCCGTCCCCGTGTCGTCCCCCCCCCCCCGTCCCCCCCTCCCCCATCTTGTGTCACTCACTGCACTGTTCCCCCAACCCCTGCAGATACCATCCTGACAAAGGACGGTCAAAGATGGTTCAGCCCTGGGCTGTCCTGCTTTTGCTTCATGTAAGTCCTTACCTAGGTTCCTCATCCAACCCAACAAAGGCTGAGTCTTCTATGGTTATGATGAACACTGCTGAAGTTTTATCTGCCCTTATCTTCTGCGAAGGATCTGCTCGATGTCAATGCCCAGAAGAAATCAAGCCTAAAATTTTAACCTAGCCTCTCTTCTCATGGTCAACAGAGGGCAGAAGACGTTGAACTCACAGGTCACCTGTCTAAGCCATCTTAAAATGTAAAGCTCAGCCAGGCAGTGGTGGCGCACGCCTTTAATCCCAGCCCTCGGGAGGCAGAGGCAGGTGGATCTCCATGAGTTCAGAGGCCAGCCTGGGCTACAGAGTGAGTTCCAGGAAAAAGGCACAAAGCTACACAGTGAAACCCTGTCTCGAAAAACAAACACACACACACACACACACACACACACACACACACACACACACACACACACACACACACACAAAGAGGGAGTTCCAGGACAGCCAGGGATAGACAGAGAAACCCTGTCTCAAAACAAAACAAAAATGTAACGCTCTATGCTTTATAGGTAGGCACAGAATCCAACAAGCAGGATTCCGAAAGAGAGTCTTTGGCCTCTTTTGGCCATGAATGTGTGAAGTATGTTCTTTTTAAGTTGCAATGAGCCTTTTGAACAGAAATTTGAAGTCTCATTATACATGGAGTCCCTAATGAGATGACTAGGGAACTTGTTTTAGAGGCTCACCAGGTCTGAACACATGGTCTTAAAGATCAATGTATTAGTCAAGAGTTCTGATAGTAGCCAAAGACTGAACAGGTGCCTCTTTCTAGCACAGCCCAGGGGCAGGAAGGCTTCTGTTTCTTGAGGTACTTGACAAGTTGCCCTGTGCTGGGCAGAGGTTGCTGACTTACGCTCTCTGGAAAGATAACTTTCAGGCACACCGCTGAACAAGGAGGCAGAGCTATTATATGCAGATAAACAAGGAGGCAGGGTTTATGGCATACAGCTGGATCTAGGAGGTGGGCTTAGCTAACCTCCACGGGAGCAGTCTCTGCAGGGGAGCAATCCTCAGCCCTTAGACATCCAGGGAGGAGAAAGCTATGGTGGACATTTTCTGCAGACTATCAACATCCTCACATGGAATACAGGGAAGGTTTTGAAGTTTCTCTCTGGGTTAGAGACTAGGGGCCTTGACACAGCCATACTCATGTCAACAATATACATTTACTCAGGACCTCACAGAATTGGGGCTTTCTACACTTTCCACAACCTCATGATCCCCTTATTTTCTTTTTGAGGGGAGTGGGAATTGGATTTTCTGAGATAGGGTCTTATGTAGTCCAAACTGGACATGAACTCATTGTATAGCCAAGGATGACCTTGACTCCTGATCCTCCTGCCTCTGGCTCCACTCTCTTTTCTCACACTGTAAAATCATCAAGAACAAAGCTGGGTGTGGCGCACACCTTTAATCCCAGCACCCGGAGGTGGCACTTGGGATTCTTCCCATTTACAGAAACCTGCAACAGATGGACTTGGCCCTAGATGACTTTCTGCAGGCAGAATCATTTATTTCCGACATTCCCCAGGAATCCATGGGCTCCGTGGAGACCTTGAAATGGTGACCTGTGAGTTCAACGTCTTCTGCCCTCTGTTGACCATGAGAAGAGAGGCTAGAGGATTGGCCTAAACTCTAGAAGTCCGTCCAAAGCACCGGACCTATGTCAGAATTTAACAAGCCGGCTTGAAAATGTAGCTGAGCATGCCTGGGTTCAATCTCTGTTGAGGGAGGGGGGAAGAGAGGGAGTGAGAAATGTGAGGAGGGGGAGAGAGAGAGAGAGAGAGAGAGAGAGAGAGAGAGAGAGAGAGAGAGAGAGAGAGAAGCAAAGAACTGGAGGGAGGGAGACCAGATGAGAATCTTAGGATGCATAGTGAGTTAAGGCCAGCCTAAGATGCAGAGTGAAACTGCCTCAAACCCCACCCCTCCAAGAAAGTATGCGATCTTGGGTAGTAGAGGCCAAAGAAGCTACATAGGAAATCTCTTGCCAACCATCACAAAAAGAAAAGAGTTAACTGTTCCCCTAGGGGAATGGGAGAGACAGGCTTATGTATCAGGCCCACCCAGCACTCTCTCTCTCTCTCTCTCTCTCTCTCTCTCTCTCTCTCTCTCTCTCTCACACACACACACACACACACACACACACTCCTGAACCTTGAGAAGATGCTGGAATCCCCCGACATGGCCACTTCTGAGGGGTCTCTAGCACATGGGGCATGACACCTACTTGCCATGACTCCGGGCTAGACAGGACCACAGCTGGGCAGAGGAAGCTAATCACAGCATGAGGTGACCACTCCAAGTAGACAGGTGAATGAAGTCCAGAAGCAGAGCAGACGCTGGGCTCAGGGCAGGATCTCGAGGGCTGAGTTCTCAGCTGGCAGGCCAAGAGGGGTCAAGACAGAGGGGGCGGTATACGGTCTTAGAACAGAGTGCTCCCTAATGCCTATGCCGAAGGTGCCAGGGCAGCTGGTGAAAAGTGGATTGTGTGTCCAAGGAAGAGGAAGGCATTTCCATCTCTCTGCTCAAAGACTCAGACTAGGAAGTGAGAAGACAGCGTCCCCAAAGCATGTGAGGGCAGAGGATGGTGGGGTTTGATGTTGCTGGGTTGTTTTTTTTTAAATTAAGATTTATTTATTTATTTACTTATTATGTATACAGTGTTCTGCCTGCATGCTTACAGGCCAGAAGAGGGCACCAGATCTCGTTACAGATGGTTGTGAGCCATCATGTGGTTGCTGGGAATTGAACTCAGGTCCTCTGTAAGAGCAGCCAGTGCTCTTAACCTCTGAGCCATCTCTCCAGCCCCGTTGCTGGGGTTTTTTAGTGCCCAAATGTGGAGGGTGGGAGAGGGCAGCCAGAGGACAATATGCAGGAGTCACTTCTCCCTTCCCATCTTGTGGCGTCCAGAGATTAGACTCAGGTGGTCAGGCTTGACTGGGCACGGGCACTTGCTGGACTTAGAGTGGGCTCTGGTACAGAATGATGGGTGCTAGAGTGCTGAGTTATGGCAGAGAAAGGTAGGGGACCACTGAACCCCGAGGGGTAACTAATGCAGGTGATCCCCCATGTTCTTGGCACCTTCCTTCACAGTGACTCATTGTTCAGGGACAGAGGGGCATGTTAGAAACCAAATAAGTGGCGAAGTTTGGCGCCTCAGGCTCAGATATCCCTGTGCTACCCCCTGGATCGCCACGACTGCCCTGAAGGAGGCTGGGGAGGCTGGCTCAATGATGGGTTTGAGCACCTGCTCTGGATGTGGCAGGATGAGACCGAAGTCATAGTGTGAGCTTCCCTGGATTCTAGGGAGCCAGCAGGAAGAGGGCGCTTCCTTTTCCCCTCCTCACCCTGCCCTGGTCCTTGGTCTTGGAAAAGGCAGAGCATTGCAGCCACTGTGGGAAGAACGGCGGCCCACCCCTCACACAGAATGGTTGGGACCTGGGCAAGGAATGTCTTCTTTGCCCATAAATTAAAGAGCCTGGGCTTGATCCTCACTTGAGAACACCCATTTCTGTTTTTTGTTGTTGTTTGTTTGGATTGGTTTGGTTTGTTTTTTTGTTTTTTCAAGACAGGGTTTCTCTGTGTAGCTTTGGTGCCTGTCCTGGATCTTGCTTTGTAGACCAGGCTGGCCTTGAACTCACAGAGATCCACCTGGCTCTGCCTCCCAAGTGCTGGGATTAAAGGCGTGCGCCACCACCGCCCGACTCCATTTCTGTTCTTATAGAATATCTAGAGTCCAGACAGAATCTGAACAATGAGGGTGTCTGAGCATGGCTCTCCCTGTACCCCATCCCTCCATGCTGATCTGGAGTCTGCTTTGTCCCCATCAAGTCTGAGCAGGCTCCCTGCCTGTCTCAGGCAAGCCCCTAGGAGGCGAGAGGCTATCTCTTCAGGGATCGGCTACTTCCAAGTTGTTGGAAGGACAGTGGGCAAAATCCCTTAAAGGACTTCATGCAGTAACAATTAAAGGAGGTGGGGCAGGCAGAAAATCCTGGCCTGTTTGGCCGCTGTGGTCAGGAGTATTCCACTGGAGAATAATCCCCACGACCACGCCTGAGCCCCGTGGATGCACTTTCTAACCCAAGCACAAGCCACGTCCAGTTGCTTTGTGTTAGGCTCTGTGGAGGCCCAAGACCCGGCGTGGATATCCATTTTACTGAACTCGCGCTGCATCGTGAGTGATGAAGAGTGCAGATTCTGAAGAAGCCGGAATGCCCGGATTTGAATCCCAGCTTTGCCACTTCTATGTTCTTGGCCGTGTTGCGGGACCTCAGTTCCCTTGCTCTGTCAAACAGGATGAGAACAATGCTGCTTACCTTGAAGTGGCTGGGAGGAGCAGCCACACGGTGCTGAAGCCCAGCGAGCCCTGAGGAGTTGGGCGATTATCAGTCACTGTGATTGTGACCTTCCACAAAAGAGAGGGGCCTTTGTGCGCTGAAGCCCTTGCTCCCCCGTCACCATCCTCCACAGAATAATCGTCGGTTCCCAGCCTGCAAAACCACCTCTTTGTGCTTCTCTGCGACTCTTCATTCTCCCCAATTATGCTCTTTTGAAGACATTCATTCTTAGTGGTTAATTATTTCAATTTCCCCTGAGCCAAGGCCTCTCACTGCTGTGTGTCCCCTCTCACCCCCTGAGGTTTCAGTGTGTTCCGGAGCCCACACAGTCTGCTCTGTGCGTCCGAGCTCTGGCTGGAAGCCCGCCTGCACAAAGCACCCCTCAGTACCCTGTCTCCCTCCCCTGTTCCCCCGGAGCCCCAGCTCCTCACCCGGCCATGAAGAAGCTCTTAGGTAGGTCGGGGGGGGGGGGGGCTATTCATTTTATACAGGCTCAACTTTGTCCCCATTCCCAGCCACTCAGCCGGCAGTTAGGACCCAAGAACGTCTCTGGGTGATAGGCAGACGCTCAATGTCTCACACGCTGGGCACGGAGAGTCTGCAGAAGGAATCGAGCAGCGAATGGAAGGCCCTTCATGCACTTATCTCTTGCTGTATTTTAAATTACCCCAGGGCTGGGTGGTGGTGGTGGTGGTGGTGGTGGCGGCGGCGGCGGCGGCGGCGGCGGCGGTGGCCCACACTTTTAATCTCACTACTTAGGAGGCAGAGGCAGGTGGATCTCTGTGAGTTCGAGACCAGCCTGGTCTACAGATCAATTCCAGGACAGACAGGGCTACACAGGGAAACAAAGCAAAACAAACAAACAAAAAAAAAAAAAAAAAAAAAAAAAAACTACCCTGGAGCTAGGTAGTTTATAACCGTCATCTGTTCTCCACTCAGGACTCTGTAACTTGGGCAGGACTAGGTGGTGGTGGTTCACCTTCACTGTGTGGGACTGGCTGGGGCAACCCAGGATGGCTGCACCCACGTCTGAGGCCTTAGCTGGAAAGGCTGGGGAGCGGGGTCCTTCCTTTCAAGGCTTTCAGCCTTAGCCTTCAACAGTGCAATCAGACTTTATATGGCCACTTCCAGAGCAAAACCAAGCTGTGAGGCCTCTTGAGACTTCAGATTTTAACAATAAAATCACACACAAACACACAAAGACCTCAGACTCATTGAGAAGTATTATGGGGCTGAAGAGATGGCTCCATGGTTAAGAAGAGTACTTCTAGAGGACCTGGGTTCAATTCCCAGCACCCACATGAGAGTTCACAACTGTCTGTAACTCCAGTTCTGGAGGAATCCGGCACCCTCACACAGACATACATGGAGGCAAGACACCAACCCACATAAAATAAATCTTTACAAAAAAAAAAAAAAGAGAGAGAGAGAGATATCATGGGTTAAATTAGGTCCTTCCAAATCAACCATTGAAGTCCTAATCCCTAGTCCCTCAGAATGTGTGTTCATTAGAAATAAGGTCCTTACAGCCTCTTTTAAAGATGAAGGACCTGGAAAGATATCTCAGAGGTTAAAAGCACTTGCTGCTCTTCTAGAGGACTTGAGTTTAGTTCCCATCACTCACTCTGGGAGACTCAACCTCCTGTAACCAGTTCTTCTGGCCTCCATGGGCACCCACACTTACATGCATGTACAACAGATACACATGCACGCGCGCGCGCGCGCGCGCACGCGCGCGCACACACACACAACTAAAAATAACATAAATCTTTTTATTTTTTTTTTTAAAGTAAAGATGAGGAACCACTGGGGTGGGGTGACTCCCTAATCCAAAATGACCAGTGTCCTTTTTTTTTTTTTTGTGATATATATTTTTTATTTTACAATACCATTCAGTTCTACATATCAGCCATGGGTTCCCCTATTCTCCCCCCTCCCACACCCTCCCCTTACCCCCAGCCCACCCTCCATTCCCATCTCCTCCAGGACAAGTCCTCCCCCGAGGACTGTGATCGACTTGGTAGACTCAGTCCAGGGAGGTCCAGTCCCTTCCTCCCAGACTGAGCCAAGTGTCCCTGCATAAGTTCCTGGTTTCAAACAGCCAACTCATGGAATGAGCACAGGACTTGGTCCCACTGCCTAAATGCCTCCCAAACTGATCAAGCCAATCAACTGTCTCACCTATTCAGAGGGCCTGATCCAGCTGGGAACCCCTCAGTCTTTGGTTCATAGTTCATGTGTTTCCATTCATTTGGCTATTTTTTTTTCAATAATTGAGTAAAACTGAAATTTATTATATGCCACAGTCGTCCTACGGACCTCCATGCTATATATATATAGCCTCTATGGTTCTATGGGTTGTGGTCTGATTGTTCATTTTATATCTAGAATCCACCAATGAGTGAGTACATACCATAACTGTCTTTCTGGGTTTGGGTTACCTCACTCAGGATGATATTTTCTAGTTCCATCCATTTGCCTGCAAATTTCATGCTTTCATTGTTTTTCTCTGCTGAGTAGTACTCCATTGTGTATATGTACCACATTTTTTTCATCCATTCTTCCGTTGATGGGCATCTAGGTTGTTTCCAGGTTCTGGCTATTACAAATAGTGCTGCTATGAACATAGCTGAGCATGTATCTTTATGGTATGTATCAGCATTCTTTGTGTATATGCCCAAGAGTGGGATGGCTGATGACCAGTGTCCTTATGAAGGGAGAAATTGGGCTGGGGATATGTCTCAGTCAGTAGGGTAGCACACAACTGTAACCTCAGCATTCTGGAAGTAGAGGCAGGAGCATCAGTGCAAGGTTATCCTGGGCTACGCAGTGAATTTGAGGCCAGCCTTATTGACATGAGACTCCATATTAAAAAGAAAAAAAAAAAGGAATGTCTAACAAGATGGTTCAGCAGATAAAGGTGTTTGCTGCTAAGCCTGAGGACCTGGGTTTGGTCCCTGGGATTCACATGGGGGAAGGAGAGAACACAGACAGACAGACAGACAGACAGACAGACAGACACACACGTAATAAAAAATGGTTTTAGCCAGGTGTGTGTAATGGCACACATCTTTAACCCCAGCCCTCGGGAGGCAAAGATGGGCCAATTTCTGTGAGTTCCAGGACAGTCAAAACTTCATAATGAGATACTGTCTCAAAAAAATAAAAGTCTTTAAAAGGGAACGAGGGCTGGCAAGAGGGCTCAGTGGGCAAAGGCACTTGGCTGTCAGGGCTGGTGCAGTTCCAGAGACCCGAGTGCTGGAAAGAGAGAACCCACTCCAGCAGGGTGCCATTGACTTCCGCCAACATGCCGTGATGTGTGGCTCCTCAACTAAACCGATAAATGTAATAATTTTTTTTTTGAGACAGTTTCTCTGTGTAGCCTTAGCTGTCCTGAAACTCACTCTGTAGACCAGGCTGGCCTCGACTCACAGAGATCCGCTTGCCTCTGCCTTCCAAGTGCTGGGATTAAAGGTGTGTGCTACCATGCCAGGCTGTAATCAAAGAAATTTAAAGGGTAGGGGAAGAACCGGATCTGATGTGCACACAGAGAAAATGCCCATCGGAGGCTGGAATTATGCCAGGGACAGAGGCTTAGAACCCCACCCCATGAGCCCCCACCCCAGCTCCATGAGCCAGCCCTGCCAACACTGACCTAGGTCTCCCAGCCTTCAGCCAGGAGTTCTGTCTTAAGTAACCTGGTATTTGGTACTTTGTTACAGCAGCCTGGCGAAAAGACAAGGACAAGGTCATCTGTTTTGAGACAGGATCTCTCTGTGTAGCCTGGCTTGCCTCTGCTTCTGCCTCCTGAGTACTGGAATTAAAGGCCCACGTGCAACCATTCTCTCTCTCTCTCTCTCTCTCTCTCTCTCTCTCTCTCTCTCTCTCTCTCTC